TCCGGTAAGGCACGGGGCCCCGCGAGACGGCCGCCGCCACGACCACTTGGTCGAGGTGGGTGAGGGACTGGTTGATGTAGACCGACTCCCCGCGCAGGCAGCCGGACGTCTGTGTCTTCTTCAGCCGTTCGGAGCCGGCCAGGTCGACGAAGACCAACTTTGCGCGCGTGACGCGCCCGCTCGACTCGACGCGCGAGCGGAACTCCATCGACAACGTGAAGACTGCGTGCCCTCTCGAGGAGCGGTCGTTGAGCTGGTGGCAGGAGACAGAGCGCCGTCTTTCACCGGTAAAGAGCACTTCGAGCGCCGCCGCCTCGTCCGCGACCGCCACGGCGCGGAGGCCGCGCACAGTTGTGCTGGACTCGCAATCGACCAGCGAGAGCGATTCGGGCCCCGGCCCCGGAAGCTCCGTCAGCAAGTCGACGAGGGTGTCGTTGTAGATCTCAAGGTACGAGGCGGTCACCAAGGTTTCGTACTGGGGCTGGCTAGCTGCGTGGCTGAACACGCGGGCGATGGCGCGAGGCGCGACGCCGCGCTGTGCAAACTGACTCGTTGAGCCAGTGTGCGTGTACGTCTTGCCGCTTCCCGTCTGTCCAAAGCAGAGCACCGTGCCATTGTAGCCGCGGAGCACGGCGTCCACCACCGGTGCGACGGTCTCGTCAAAGATCTTCTCCTGGCTCGACTCGCCACCAAAGACGTGATCGTATGTCCACTCCCACGACGACCTCTGGTTGTCGGACCTTGCGCTCGCGAGCTCTGGCGGCAGCACCACCCGGACGGTGCTGCTCGCGGGGCGGATCTGAATGTGGTCCGGGTTGCTCACCGAACGGGCGCGGACCGCCACCGTCAAGCGCTCACGGACCGCCTGCATGCAGCCGCGTGGTGCCCGAAACGTCGGATGAAACGATGTCTCTTTACGAGTAAGCGCGGGCGGCCGGGACGGCACGTGGAGCGCTACGTGAGCGGTGACGGGCGCGGAGGAGCGAATGAGAGCCGTGTTCACCACCGACCACCGTCAGATCTAGCTCCGCTAACAGAGGCTTCAGTGTCTGACTTGGGCTGTTGGGCAACTTAGACACACAAACAACTTTTTTTGTAGGTAGTAGCGCACAATGGCACCCTTGCTCCTTCCTTGCTTGCATCAAGTGCATCAATTTATCACTTCTGATCCCCCCGGGGGGGGGGCTCGTCGACCCCCCCAGGGACAAACAGAGTGAGCAGCCGCGGCGCCGCTAATATCGTTTCTTTGTGCTGGTCGCTGGCGGCTCCCGTTACGCTGGTCGCTTAGAAAGTAGAAAGAAATAGAGAGAAATCCGCGCTGTTTTCTGACGCGGCCAGAAAAGACACCCCGCCTCACAGTTCCTCGGCGACATGGCCCTGTCCGCGATGCCCCTCTTGCCCTCCGACGATGCGGCCGAGCCCGTGGTCGGGACCCCGCTCCTCTCGGGTCTAGTCTACACGACCAAGCCAAAGACTGCCGTGAGCGAGAACGGAGTCACCTACCAGATCCTCGGCGACGAGGCGCAGTCGGTGGAGGTGATGCTGCGGCCGGGGCAGGTGATGCGCATGGAACCTGGCAAGATGGTGCACATGCACGCGTCACTGATGCCCGAGATTGGCACGGACGGCGGCTTTGGCCAGGCGTGCATGCGGGCCTGCTGCGCGGGCGGCTCGTTGTTTCGCCTGATGTTTGAGAACAAGACGTTCCAGGACGTCCCGATGGCAGCGTCGCCCTCGTGGCCAGCCAAGGTTGTCCCGTTTGACATGTCCAACTACAACGGGCTGCACCTCAGTGCGAGCGCGTGGTTCGCCTCTGTCGCGACCACCACCGAGTTCTCCATCAAGCGCGCGGACACCGTCGGCGCCGCTTGCTGCGGCGGGCAGGGTCTTTTCTACAATGTCATGACGGGCGACGGCGTGGCCTTCCTCTGCGGCGGCGGCGCGATCGTTGAGAAGAGCCTCGCGCCAGGAGAGGTCTACGTGATCGACACCTCCTCGCTCCTAGCCTGGGAGCCCTCGGTCAACCTGTCAGTCCGCCGCGCGGGTGGCCTGCTCATGTGCTGCTGCGGCGGCGAGGGCCTCTTCCTGAATGAGATGACGGGCCCGGGACGGCTGTGGATCCAGCCGATGCCGCTCAAGAAGCTGAAGGCCGCGGTCGCCATGCCGGGCGGCGGCGGCGGCGGCGGTGGCGGCGGCGGCGGCGGCGGCGATGGCGGTGGCGGTGGCTAGAGAGCGAGGAGGCGTTCGTCGCCAGTGTTTCGCGCACCAAGAAGTCTCGCGGTGGGTCGCTACGTAGCTCCGCGTGCGCCGGTCGGCTTCCTGTTTGAGGTGTGAACGGTCAAGGACCAAGGTGATCGATGCCGTTTCGTCATGTGTGTATGTTTTTGTCCCACTACTGAAATGTGAAAACTGATAACTGTCCACACACACACACACACACACACACACACACACACACACACACACACACACACACACACACACACACACACACACACACACACACACACACACACACACACACACACACACCGCTCACCCACGCGCACTGCCACTGGCGGCCTTGCACTTTGAATGCCGTGGCGCGTGTGGCCCGTGGCCGTGCGGGGGCTCCTGTCGTCATACGTGGAGATGCGAGGGTTGCCCCCCCTTGCCCCACCACTCGTGTGTGTGGAGAAGTTTACCTTACCTTACCTTACCTTATAACTGTCGAGGTCCTGCTCACCTCGTAGTGCTAGTCTTCGGCCCACACGGCGCGCTCGGGCGGCTGCCGCAGCGCGTGGTCGCTCGGCACGCTCCAGCCGAAGCCGTAGACCACGCGCGCGTCTCCGCCCTGCAGCGGCGCCGTTTGGTGCATGTGCCTCGACGCGGTGAAGACCCACATGTCGCGCTCGCCCACCTCGAGCGCCTCCCCCTCAATGACGGGCCGGCCGGAGGGGTGCTGCAGCGACACGACAATATTGCAGCGGAGGTGGTGTCGCTCCGGCCGGCTGCCCGGCACGCCATGGTCGTACGCGTCGGTGTGCCGGTGGATGAAGCCTCCCGGCTGGATGAGAGAGATGACGCGGCCAAGGATCTGGTCAGGAGGCACGCCTTCAAGCCAGAGGCAACGCTCAGCCCGGCGCGTGAGCGCCTTGAGGAGCGCGTCGACGTAGAGTGCGGGCGCGTCGTCGGCCTTGGCGTAGTAGCGGCAGGGACCGCACGCGTTTGGATGCAGCTCGCCTCGCTGCAGGTGCGTGTTGGCCTTCTTGAGGAGCGCAAGCCGCTCCGCCTCGGAGATGAAGTCGCGGACGACCATCCAGCGGCGGCGAGGCTCGAGTTGGACGGCGGCAGCGGGCGCGGCGCTGCAGCGGCGCTGCGACGAGCGCCGTCTCCAGGATTGCCGAGTGCGAGCGCGCATCCGAACCGCCGAGCCGCGGTCGAGCAGGACCGAAAAAGAATTTTACCAGCGACACCCCGGTGTCGTGCGAAAAAGAAGATTTTCGTGCCGGACGGGTTCGCAGCTATTTCTTTCGCACGCGTAGGGAAAGGGGTTGGTCAAGACGGATACGGGCTCGTGACGAATTACTACGATACCAAATTGGGTCAAGAAAGCCATAACGCGGCTGGTGCTAGTGGAAACTTTGGGAGGCATTGCGCCGCCCACCAAGCAGTTCCTCCACGTGTTCGCCAAGGAGGCGGCGGGCACCAACACGGACCGGACGGTGTACGGGGCGGCGTCGGCGAGCGCCTCCTCCTCGTCGTCCACCACACGCAGCAGATCTCCAAGGCGGCGGTGGCGGGCGACGCCGACAACATCAACAAGCAGGCGCGCAAGGAGCGTACCGACTGGATCAACAAGCAAAAGAACAAGCAAGTATGACCCCCCCCAATGAACACACCAGTGAGGGAGGGCGAGACGATCGAGGGGTCCCGTACCATGCGGAGTCGACCCTATCCAGTGCTCAAGTGCTCAACAAGCAAGCGCGGACTCAGGGCCGGTGCTTTGACGCAGTATATTGTACTTCGAGGTAGTATGAACTCAGAACGGCCCCCCGAGAGCGCCTCTTCGACGCCCACGGGTCCCAGGGGGTCGGAGGGGTTGCGAGAGGGCCTTGGCTATTTTTTGTTTGAATCCCGGAGGCCGTTCGTGGGCGGGCGGGCAATCCCAAAGCACAGCCAGTGGACCGCCGCGAGGCGTCGAGACTAGCCGAGAGGAGAGCAGAGACAGCAGAGGCTACTCTAGACAGAGCAGCCGAGAACAGCCGAGGTGCATGCATGGCATCCATGCGATGGAGCGAGGCGCCGCGGCACTTCCTGCGAAGGGACACCCC